GCTTCCAGGGGATCTAACACATTCATCTGATTCAGGGGTGTGTGTGTGTGTGTCTGTATGTACTTGTACATACACAATGTGTGTGCACACACACATACACATTAAGTTATGGTTATGTGTGCTCTGTAGTATTGTCAAAATGCCTGACAGAAGCAATATTTTAAAGAGGAAAAGTTTGAGGTAATGAATTGAGAGGTAAAAATCTATGATGGCAGGAAAGACATGGTGGCTGGAGTGGTTACGCTAGAGCAGGAGCTTTTGTGATAGAGACTGTTCTTATCTTGGCAGATCAGAAGTAGAGAGGTGGACCAAAAGTGTTGGCAGGTACAACCTTCAAAGACTAACCCCTACCCACAGCCTTCAAAAAACAGTGCCACCAGCTGGGAGAAAGCACATGTCCAAACACATTTGGGGACATTTCACTTTCAAACTACACTGCTTTCAAACAAAATTGAATCTGGCTTCAATTATGCTACACTGGCTGCTCTTCCAGAGGACCTGATATCAGTTTCTAGCAGCCACATGGAGGCTCCTAATTGGAAGTCCAGTCCCAGAGGACCTGATGTCCTCTTCTGACCTTCTTGGGCCACAGACATGTACCTGGTACACAGACATACATTTAGGCAACAAAAACAAAACCTTTGCATTATACACTTGGAATCTGAAAAAAATATAGTCATGAATTAAACCACAATAAAACAGAGGCTGCCAGTGATTAAGATTTAGGAGAGATAAGGAGATAACCATTTAAGAGTACAGACTTTCTGTTACGTCACCATCATGACAACAGTGAACAATAATACACTGTCGACTGAAAACTGGCTAAGACATTAGGTGTTGGTAAAGTGGCCCATTTAAGTTCCTGGCAAATAAAGACTCTGTGAAGCCTAAAATGGGCTTTCCTGGTTACACTCCAAAAGAAGTCCCTGCCACATCAATCACCGTTTTCTGAGATATATATAAACATTCTTTTCCAGAACCTATACAACTATGTATTCTCCAATTTGCTAAGACATTATATGTTTTCATATCAAATATAAAATATGACTATGTAGACCAGCAAGTTGGCTCAGGAGGTAGAGGTGCTTACCTCCAAGCTCAACCACCTAAGTTCAATTCCCAGGACCCCAAAAATGGAACAAGAATGCCAATTCCTGAGTTATGTACCCCAATGTGTCATGTTGTATACCCCAACCCCAAATTTAAAAAAAAAAAACTGTACTATATAAAAACAAGTGTGTCAGATGAGAGAGATGTCTGGTTTGGATCTAGATTCGGTAGACAGAATGAATGCCAGTTCTAACTGTATGAATACAATGTGGCTCTTCATCTCTCAGAACTGTGAGCTAGAGGTGTACGGACTGCACAAGGAGACCAGCACTCAAAACCAAACAAACCCAATCCTGCCTACAAATTAGTTTTAAATAAAGTCTAATGAGTCTACTGTGAGATTTCTTATACTATATCATGTGAAATGAAATACAAAGTACTCTCTGGCTTTTATGAAGAATGTTATGTATAGAATTATTAGATCTACTTGGTCTCAAGTCTAGTTCAAGTATAGTTTCCTTAGTTACTTAAGACTCAATGTTAATATCAATTCGTTGTCAAAAAGAGTGCTACAACAGTCTTATATTCCATCATAATGCTATTTCTCTCTACATATATCCTAACACTTGCTTTCCACACTTGAGTCTTCTATTTCTAGGATATCTTTACAACCATGACACCATTGCAATGAAGTAACCATCTTTTTTGGTCTACTTATGCCCTAAAAAAAATGAAATAGTCACTTACTGGCAGCACAGAGAAGTCTTTCTAAATATTACCAGTCAAGCACAGTGGGCCATGAGAGGTCAATGCTGAAAGATCTTTAGTTTGAGGTCAGTCTGGGCGACACAGTGAGTTCAAGGCCAAACCTGGACTACACAGCAAGACCCTGTCTCAATGACAAATAAGAAAAATTACTATTTATTAAGACAATTTCAATCTCCTGGTCACTTCATAACGTAACTTTTAAAAGGACCATACAAACTGTGATCAAGATTGGTTTTATAAATGGGATGCAAAGATGGTTTGTGAAAATAAATGTGATATACTGAATGAAATAAAAATCGTATTGCAGGAAATGTACAGGATCATGTAACATCATAGGATATCAACTGATGGTTAAGTCAATAAATTAGATAGAAATGTACTTCATCATAATGGCAGCACATGAAAGACAAATTCAGTTTTCAAGTTACAAAGCTGAAGCCTATCAAGGACAGGTATACGTACCTTTCCTTCATTCATTCGGGAAATACTGGGAAAAGCCTTGCTAGAGCAATTAGGATAAAAAAAAAGTCACCGAAGTAAGAAAAGTAAAATTATTTCAGGTAACAGGGCATTCATGAAAAAAATTATAAGAAACTCAGAAAACGTAAGATTTTTCAAGTCAGCACAGTGTCTTTACATTCTACAAATTTAAAAAGCAAAATATTATACAACATATAAAACTACATAAAATTAAACAGGGAAAATCTAAACTATCATGAATAAGACTATAAACAAATTGCAAAGTATGCCATACACATTGAGAGAATTACCACTGTTACAATGTCCATCCTACCCAAAGTGCTTTGTAGATTACCACTACATTAGCAATTCTAATGGCATTTTTTCGCAGGCTTATTAAAAAAAAAAAAAACCACAAAGTCATAAGAAACCAGAACTTTTCAGTTAATCCCAAAATGACTTAAATAAAAACAAAAATTTTAGGCTTAACAATGTACTACAAAGCTGGAGATGTTCACTTAGTGTAAAGTTAGATACTCAAGCACTCCACATGCACTCATGCACACACGCACACACTCACACACACAAAGTATGGTGGTACATGCCTATAATCCTACTGGAGAGATAGAGGCAAGAAAATCAGAAGTCCAAAGTCATTCTTGACCATTTAGTTAATTTCAAAGTCAGTCTAAGTTCCAGGAAGCCTTGTCTTAAGAAAGAACAGCAAAAACAAACAAAACCCATTATGTAAGCAGAAATCAAACAGTATAATGTTGATACAAACAACATAAACAAATTGTTTACAAAGAAACATATAGTCATTGCTAGGCATAAGGGCACATAACTGTAATTCGAGCACTCTGGGAAGCAGACAGGTAGATCTCTGTGTGTTTCAGGCTAACCTGGTCTACATAGCAAGTTCTAGGTTAGCCAAATCTATAAAGAGATTATCCCAAAAACAAACAAAAAACAAAAAAGCCCCTTATACAGTCCACATAATTTCAACAATGAATTTAGAACTACAGCTTAATGGTAGAGCACCTGCCTAGCATTCTTGAGGCCACAAATTCAATTCCTAGCACCAAAACAGAAGCAATAACAGTTACAGAAACAGTATATATACACACATATATAAACTTAGGGGTTTAAAAAAACGGAAATATAATTAAACAAGAGTAAAAGAAATATAGTTAAGTTGGATGGGCTCAAACCCAGAATCTCAGCACTCGAGAGGCCTAGGGAAAAAATACTGTTCCAAGTTTAAGGCCAGCCTGCCCTACACAGTGAGTTCTATGCTACCTTGGATTACATAGTGAGGTTACCACAAACTAACAAAACCCTGAAAGTAAAATGTAAAACTGTAACACAATGAAACTCCAAGAATGCTCCAGACACACCAGCAAAGAATTTTAGAGCTGGCATGAAAATCATGGGCATTAGAGGAAAAATAAAGAATTAGGGCCACATCAAACTAAAGATTCTGCAAAGCAATTAAAAAAAAAATCTGAAAAAGCATGTACACAGATGAAAAAATATCTGTAAACCATATATATTACAACAGGTCTATGTCTAAAACATAGTCACTCAGGTAACTACGCGTATCTTGATTTTAAAATTGATAAATAACTGAAATCAGTATTTTAGCAAAAGATATACAAATGGCTTATAGATTAGAAAAATGCAAATCAAAACTGAAGATACCATCTCACACTTTTAAATGGCATATAGACAGAAAAAGTAAAAGGATAAGCAATAAAGAGACTAGGTACATCACAGGGAATATAAATTGGCAGTTGTTACATACACAATGACATCTCTATCATTACAATAACAAACTCACTTTTGGGATTGTAACTGAGAACATAAAATCATGAATTTAAAGAGATAGCTACACTCACATTCAATGCAGCAATACTCCCAACAAGCAAGAAATGAAAACTAAGCATCCATAGAGACCAAAGGATAATTAAATGTCTTAAAATAACTGACCATAACACAGTTCCACCTTGAGAACATCATGTAGATTGATATGTGGCAGCCAGGCATGGAGGCACATGCCTGTAACTCCAGCAGTAAAGGAGTCTGAGGTCAGTCTGAGCTACAGCAAGACCCTGTTACAAAAATAAAAAAGCTAAGTCGAGTTAATACAGATTCTACATGATCTAAGAAGCAGAGCCTAAAGAAAAGCTGAACTCCAAGCAGAGAATGGAATGGCTACCAAAGACTTGGAACTCAGAGTAAGGGATTGTACTGGTCAGATCCAAACCTACTTGTGTTAAGTACTTGAACACTATTGTAAAATATGATCTTCTTTTCAGCGCTAGTAAACTATATACTTAAGACAGTAGAAAGAGCCAGGTACAGTGGCTCGCACCTGTAATTTATGCACTCAGAAGGCTGGGCCAAGCCTGCCACGAGCTAGGGACCAGTCTAGGCTCTACATGACTCATGACTTCCATAGTAGCCAGGGCTACAAAGTGAGACTATCTCAAAAAAAAAAAAAAAGAGGGGAAAAAAAAAAAACAAAGGAAGGGGAGGTACATACAATGTACATACAATGGGTGCAAGACACAACAAATCAACTAACAAGTAAGGAGGAGATGGGAATTTGTGTCCATTATTTCACAATGCTGACATGGGACATATAACACATACTATGTAAAAAACAATAGTTTCAATCATACCAAACAGGAATTTTTTAAAAAAAAAAACAACAACAACAATAGAATTTAGAAATTCATAATTGAAGTCATAAAAATACACAAATGTAGAAATATTCAAAATTCATATAGAAGCACCCAGGAAATCCAAGTGTTGCCATCTAAGACACTGAAGCAAATCCCCTATTACGCACATGTAGCTTGTGTTCAGTCTGTAAACACCACATAAAGTCAAATATAAAAAGTTACTTCCCAAACTTCAGTAAGGTATTTCTCAACTATGAGACCATAAGTGAACGAAGAAACAAAATCTATGACATTTCTTCATGTCTTGCATCAACACACATGGAAACACTAAAGGTTTTCATTCCCTATATTGCAAGCCTTCAGTTAATACATATATTATGAAATTTTGATTTTTCCCACAATCCTTAAACTCAGAGCATCCTCAGAATGAGTTGTTTTTACAGCACATAACTGAATGTTTTTATACATTGCTTATCAATAAGACTTGTATAGACTATGAACTTTGATTGCAAATGGTTAAAGGCTATCAAACAATTTTCTGAATCCCTTACATTCAAAGGTTCTCCCCCCAATGGGGTGCTTCTTGTTCATTAGCATCAGCAGAAGTAGTGAAGGCTTCCCCACATTCCTTATATTCATATGGTTTCTCTCCTGTGTGTTTCCGTAAATGTTTATTAAGGCCTGAGTGCTCTGTAAAGGCTTTTCCACAGTACTGACATACATAAGGTTTCTCTCCAGTGTGAATTCGCATGTGAACTCGAAGGTACGAGGACCACAAAAATGACTTTCCACATATTATACACTGAAAAGGCTTCTCTCCAGTGTGAGTTCGCATGTGAACAGGAAGGTAAGAAGAACACGTAAATGTTTTCCCACATACTGTACACTGAAAGGGTTTTTCTCCAGTGTGAATTTTCAAATGCACATTAAGATAAGAGGAAGAAGCAAAGGCTTTCCCGCAGTGGTCACATTCAAAGGGTTTCTCTCCTTTGTGACTTCTTATATGTGCAATAAGGCCTGAGGAAGTGCTAAAGGCTTTTCCACATTCTTGGCATGCATAGGACTTCTCCCCAGTGTGATTTCGTAAATGTATAGTAAGGCCTGAACGAGCAGTGAAGTCTTTCCCACAATAACTACATTTATAGGGTTTTACTCCAGTGTGAATTCGGAAGTGGGTCTCAAGGGATGAAGAGTTTCTAAAGGATTTTGTGCATACCTTACATTGAAACGGTCTCTCAGAACTGTGAGTTTTTATGTGGACAGTAAGTTGAGCAAAGCTAATAAAGCCTTTGCCACATTCCTTACATTCATAGGGCCTCTCACCAGTATGTGTTCTTATGTGTTTAGTAAGGCATGAGCGCTCAGGGAAAGTCTTCCCACACTCTTTACATTCATATGGTTTCTCTCCGGTGTGAGTTCTCATATGAATACGAAGATAAGAAGATCTCGTAAATGTTTTATCACACTGGTTACACTCAAAGGGCTTCTCTCCAGTGTGAGTTCTTAAATGTCCAACAAGAGACGAGGAGTGAGCCAAGGCTTTCCCACACTGATAACATTCAAAGGGCTTCTCTCCTGTGTGAATTCTTATATGTTCAACAAGGCCCGAAGATGTACTGAAGGCTTTCCCACATTCCTTACACTCATAGGGCTTCTCACCATTGTGAATTAGTACATGCTTAGTAAGGCCTGAACGTGCAGTGAAGTCTTTCCCACAGTAATTGCATTTGTATGGTTTTATTCCAGTGTGAATTCGAAAGTGAGTCTTAAGGCATGAGGAATTTCTAAAGGTCCTTGCACATACCTTGCACCGGAAGGGCTTCTCACCAGTGTGTGTTTTTATATGCTCAGTTAATTGAGCAAAGCTGGTGAAGGCTTTCTCACATTCTGTACATGGATAGGGCCTCTCTCCAGTATGTTTTCGTAAGTGTATCGTAAGCCAAGAACGGCCACTGAACGCTTTCCCACATACTTTACATTCATAGGGCTTTTCACCTGTATGAGTTCGTATATGACCTAGCAGATAAGAGGACCGTGTAAATGCCTTCCCACATATGTTACACTCAAAGGGCTTCTCTCCAGTATGAGTTCTCAAGTGTGTAGTAAGGTAAGAGGAAGACGCAAAGGCATTCCCACACTGGTCACACTGATACGGTTTCTCTCCCGTATGACTTCTCATATGCTCTGTAAGGCGTGAGGGTTGAATAAAGGTTTTCCCACATTCCTTACACTCATAAGACTTCTCTCGAGTGTGTTGTCGTAGATGTACAATTAAGCTTGAGCGCTCAGTGAAGGCTTTCCCACATTCCTTACAGTCATAGGGTTTCTCCACAGTGTGGCTTTGCATATGGATATTAAGGTACACAGGATGTGTAAAAAATTTTTCACATTTCTTACATTCATAATATTTTTTTTCAGTGGGAATCACATGCCCATCATGGCTTACAGGATGAGTAAAAGCTTGTCCACACTCCTCTGATTGGTGAAGATTCTTTCCACTGTGAGAAGAACTGTGTGCCTGAAGTTCTAACTGATTAACAAAAGTTTCCCCACAGTCACTGCATTCAACAGATTTTTCCAGACTGCACTTTCTCTGGGAAACATCTGGAGTCAAAGTCAAAGGTTTTACACACTGGTTCAAGTGGAAAATGTTCTCTTCGGTAGAAGTTTCTTTAAGGGGTGGCAGAAAGTCTTTTCCATATAAATTACACGCTGAAGTGTTCTCTGTATTTGAAGTACTAATGTGAGTCTGAGGGCATGAATCTTCACTAAAAACTGTTCCAACTTGAACAGAGTCACCAAGCTCCCCGCTACTGTGCTCTCTTCCCTATTGATAAAGGGAAAAAGATGATTAGAGGATTTTTCAGGCTCATACAGGAAAATGTAGCTGTGGAGTTCTGATGCACTGAACCTCACAATACACTCGGGTATCACTTCATGCTGAGTATGCTGGCTTACTACTGCCCCAGCATTCTGGAACAGAGACAAAGTGTCACAAGTGAAGGCTACCTTGAGTGGTAGAGTGCCTTTCTCTAGGAAAAAAAGAGTAAAGGAAAAAGGAAAGAAAAACGAAAAAGGGAAGAAGGGAAAGATGTAAGAGTTCCTTACCTGTTGACAGCTAATTCTCTCAAATCTTTCATTTGAATCTCTTTTTATCAGTAAATCCCTAATTTTCCCTGACCTTGGACATTATGATCTTGTTGCTCCAACCCCTGACTGAGAAACTACAGACAACTGATTGAGTTCTGAGTTTAGGAGTTGTGACCCCCAGTAGGTCAACCATGCTCCAGTAAACAGCCCAACATACACAAAGAAATGATTTGGCTAGCACAAATTCAAACTGATTCTAAAAAAGGATGTAGAGTTTGTGGTGGGGGCAGGGGGTGTCTTAGAGGAGTTAGGAGAAGTGAGAGTTGATTATTATCAAAATACATTATAAGAGATATTCTCAAACACAAATATTTTTTAAAAAAAGAAATATCCTGTGGCTAGAGAGATGGCTCAGGAGTTAAAAGCACTTGCTGCTCTTCCAAAGGACCCAGGTTAGTTTCCAAGCACCCACGTGGCAGCTCACAATTGTCTATAACTCCTGTCCCAAGGAATCAGATGCCCTTGTCTGTTCTCCAAGGGCACCAAAAATACACATGGTACACATACATTGTGCAGGCAAAGTACCCATAAACATAAAAGTAAATTTATGAGACTTACCAGTTGCATCCCATTAGACATATCTGACCAAAATCTATCCTGCTGAAGTGCTGTCCTTTTTGTCTTAAGGTGCATTTCCCATTCTAAAATGAAACAAATAAATAAATAAATAAAGTTTAAACTTTCAAAAACAGCCGAAACAAACAAACAAACAAACCCTACCTCATTTGGCCAGGAGTGGTGGTGCACACCTTTAGAAGCCAGAGACAAGCAGACCTCTCTGAGTCCCGAGCCAGTCTGGTTTATAAAGTTGAGTTCCAGACCAGAACTTCACTTGTGTGGTTTTTTTTTATATTAAAGTACATTAAACAATAAAACTAAGAGAAAATAAAGCAACTGTCTAAGTCTAAAATTTGACAAGTACAGGATATGGTGTCACAGCTGTAATAATTTACAGATGTATTAAAATTAAATGTAAACAGAATAAACAGAGAAAATAAAAGACCGGTGCATCACAGATGCTTCACGTTAGCTTTTTCTATGAACACTGTTTCTAAGACCTTGGCCTTCAGATTCAAGGTGGTCTTCTAATAATTCCCTTGACACACTTCCAGACATATGGAATTTGACAACAAGAAATGTTTTCAATAAATACTAACCTTGGAGAATTCCTTGTTCCATTACTGTCAGCTCGACTTTCTGCTCCAACCAAGAGATCAGGCTGGGTTTAAACATCTGACCTCCTAGACACAGGGACAGATACATCAATGGAAAAGACTCATGTAAACTAGCCAATAACAGAAAATATTTCTCAAGAAAGACTTAAAATTATTAACGAAGACCTCAGAATACAAATACTTATGCTATTGGTAACTAGAAAATTTCTATGACCCATCAAATCCACATTCAAAACTTAATGCACATTTAAAAACCACTAGGGAAGACCAAGACTGTTTATGCACAGATGTAATCCCAACACTCACAAGGCTGAGGCAAAAGGAAACAAGAGTTCCAGGACAGTCATGGCTATAGAACTAAAGTGAGTTCTGTTTCAAGAAACCAAAAAATGGCTAAGGATATGGTTCAGTAGTGGAGTACTTGCCTGGACAGTACAAGGTTCTAAATTATCCCCACTACTATCAATAAATAAATAAACTATTAATGGCATATAATATTCCTATGCCTTCATTATTAATGAAAATTCTATGCTTTAAAAAATGTAAAATAAAATGTACTAAACCATTTCTCCCAATAAGATCTAATATAGTGTTATTTAATTTTTAATTAAAGTGTTACAAAGTCACCCCACTCCCAACCCCAGGAATATAGATCAAACCCAAGGCCTCATGTGTCTAAACAAACACCCTACAACAGAGAAATGTGCCCAGCATGGGTCTTCATTCTTATAGGGAAAAAAATGGTAGCACTAGTTCTTATCTTTAGAAACAGATTCATAAAGATTGGTAAGACTGACAGCCAAGTGTGATAGCCCACATCTGTTATCCCAGCTCTCATGAAGATTGAGACAGAAGAATTGCTAAGAGCTTGAAGCCAACCTAAGCTATAGAGTGAGACCTTTCCTCACTGACAAAACAAATCTAAAGAGGAAGAATCTCAAAATAACATTATTAGTATAGTAGTAGTGACGCTACTAATCACCATTTAGTTGAGAACTACCATGAGGTATTAAATTATGTTAAGGGACTTCATCTGCTATTTCCCACTGTTCTGAGCTGACATCACATCCTAGAACACTATATTTCTGCTCTCTTATGAAGCTAGAACAAGTGATGGCAGTCCTACCTACTGTGGCCAGGTTCTGGTAGTTCTCCAGCATCACATCTCTGTAGAGGGTTCTCTGAATTGGATCCAGTGAAGTCCATTCTTCCTGGGTAAAGTCCACAGCCACATCTTCAAAGGTTACTGCATCCTGAACCATCACACAAATGCCAACTTGAGCACCTATGCTCACTGGAGAATGAGGAAGTAACATCCTTCCTATAAAAGAGACTAAGGTCCCCCATAATCTATCTCAGATCTCAATATTCTTAAAGCATTTCTCTATCCACAGTCACTCTATAGACCTTCTATACTCATGGATTTCTGCATCTCTTGCAAATAAACTTATATCACCTTAACTACACAAGGAACTCTATTTATCTTACCCCCCATGTTGTAGCACATTCCCAAGCATACTTCAAACTTGTTATGTGATTATAAATAATAATAAGTTTACTTCTTTTAAAAACTGAAGACTTTCACCTTTACCATTTGTCAAAACACAAAATAATAAATACTTAATCACTAACAGAAAATAAGACCGATGATTACTAAACTACTAAGATGATCTTCAGGGGAATCCCTCACCAATGCCTTTCTGAAGAAACTTGAAAAATCAGTCATGGCAAGGAATTTTGGTTTGCTGTTTTGTTTTGCTGTAAGGGCAAGTCTACTTATGAGAAAAACGTGCCTTCATAGTCAGTTTCACTTTGACTTTGGATCCCTTTAATACTCATCTTCTGGAGTACATGATAAGAGATTGTTCCTTCTACTGAAAAACCCAGTTCTCTCCTGACTTCTATTTTTAAAACATCACCACCAACAACAACAACAACAATAACAACAACAACAAAAAACCCTGTCAATCTTGGCTGAGTACATAAAATAAGAAATATACTTTTTTTCTTGAATTACCACCTGCTGTGTCTCCATGAAGGTATGTCTTGTCAAACAATCCTGCTCTGGTGCTACATCTTTAGTTTGTAGTTGCTTTTCCAATTCTGGAATTAAACCCACAAAATAAGATTAGGTTTAAGTAACAGAACAATATAGCAAAGAAGTTAAAAATGTCTCCATGGATTTCTAAATAAACTTGGCTCATGAACAAACTGAAGATTTAGAGAAAAAAAAATACTAAATATTAATTCTGCCAAAATTAATACATGGTAATAAAATAAAAACATGTTACCAGAGGGAAAAGGAAAGAAATATCATGAAAGTACAGCATGGTATGAACATCAGCAATCCCAGCACACATGAATCTAAGGCAGGAGAATCAACCATTTAAAGCTATACCATTAAAAAAAAAAGAAACAAAAAAGGAAAAGTATTTTAGACAAAAAGAACATAGGAATTGATAGTGATGTACGCCACTGGTCAATGCTGTTCTTTATAAACCGTCACCTTGAAGAACTCCCTTCTGTGTGCTCACCAATTCTGTCAAGCAAGCCAAAGCACTGGGTTTCATTAGTGTCTGATATCCTATATGCAGGCAAAGATGCATTAATAGAACAAATGGCAAACTTCTCTATGATTCAGGTCTATAATAAATATTTTTTTATAATACAGGGTCTCTTGTAGTCCAGGGTAGACCTCAAACTCACAAACCTACTGAGATTACAGGCATGCACTATCAAACCCGCTTTTTGGTCCATAATTCTAATAAAAGTTGCAATTATTTCAAAAAGAACTTAAAAGACAAAGCTTTAATCCTATGATCCCAAGGATCTCTGACCACTAAAACACTAATCAATTTCATATTAACATTTCTGACAAAACAAATCACTGCAATATTTGCTAAGCAATAAAATAAACCATTAACTTACAAATATCATAGTTCATCAAATTCAGATAAAGTCATAAAATAGAATACTAACTAGAAAGTGCTACTCCATTTATCAAAGATGGAGACAAGAACATATTAAACATACATTTCCACAGAACTAGGTAATGTACATTTTAAAAACCACCACAGTAGGCCATCAAGATAGCACATCAGGTATAAAAGCTTTCCACATAACACTGACAACCTCAGTTCAATCAGCAGAACCCCACATCTTGACTGTCAATGTCACACTTGGGAAGAAGGAATCTCAACTGAAGAACACCCTCCATCAGTTTGGCCGGTGGGGACATCTAAAGAACATTTATTTGATTGTTAACTGATGCAGATTTCTGCCAAGTCTGAAGAAAGTTGGCTGTACAAGCCTAAGGGAGTAAGCCAGTAAGCATGGTTTTGTTTCGGGTTCTGTCTCGGCTTCCCTGGATGGAGTATAACCTGTAAGCCAAATACACCATCTCCTCCCCAAGTTGCTCATTTACTCAGTGTTTTACCACAGCAACAGAAAGCAGACTAGGACATCAAGTATAAAAATTCAAATGCAATGGCACATGTCTGTAATCCCAGGCCCAGCACTTGTACAGTGAGATGAGAGAGAGGCAGAAATTGGAGAATTGGCCAGAAGTACAGTGACAAAAATATTAAGAATGACCCTCCCTCAAACCACAAGGTGGGCATAGAGAACTGACTCCCAGTAAGTTGTTCTCTGATGTCCAAGTATGTGCTATTGGCATATGTGCACCTGCACTCATAAACCAAAAACAATAAAAATAAACCTTTATGTTTGCTTTTCGTTTTTGAGATAGGGTTTTTCTGAGTAGCTCTGGGTTATCCTGGAATTCTGTAAGACCTGGCTAACCTTGAAATCACAGACATCCACCTGGCTGTGCCTCCCAAGTGCTGAAATTAAAGGTGTGCACTACCATCACCTTAAATCTCAAACAAACAAACAAACACCCCAACCCAGTGTGCTAGGCATGTGGCTCAGTAATGAAGCATATACACCACATAGGAGGAGGTACTGATGTATACGACCCCACCAATTAAACTAGCATGTCTGTTAGTTTAAATGCATTAGAAGAAAACTACCACTGTTGTTATCTCGTTGGAGTTGACAAACTTTCTAAGCACACTAAGTACATAACATGTGCCTGCTCCACATGAAGCATCATATGAGAGTAACTTACCCACAGTGGCCAGGTTTGTGTAGTCCTCCACTGCCCCATCACTAGGTCTGCTGCTCTGAGTTGGATCCTTTGTAGTCCACTCCTCTTGAGTGAAATCCACAGCCTCATCCTGAAAGGTCACCAAATCCTAAACCACCCACATATGCTTGTTTCAACCAAGTTAATATCCCCACCAATCCTCTCAGAAGAATAAGGACAGGGCACTCGATGCCTAGAGTTCTCCCATTGCCTACCCTGGGGCTCAATGGCCCTAGACCAGGCTCCTTGGTATCCACTCAACTCTCCACCCATCTACTCTAGTAAAGTGGCTTTAATGGCATATTTCAAACACTTTTACCTCACCACACCCCAAACTTTTTCATCTTTCCTCTTTTTCTAATAATACTCCTGAACATATTTTACAAATGGGGTAAATATGAAAACAAAGTTTTTGAGAAAATAATATATATGCTTTATTATCTTTAAGAACACTGTAAAAAAAACTGGTATTTGGCACTGCAAGGGTCAAGACTAACCAGTAATGACTGTAATAATACAGCATTACAGCAATGTGAAAAGCTCCTCTTCCTGGATAATTAGTCCTTGTTAGGGACTTTATTCACTTTGGTAATCCTGGGAGATAAGTCTGTCTACACAGAAAGACATATACCTCTCTATGCAATGAATTCAGTTTGTGGTTCTTCATACCTTACTACAGTTTTTCAGGCAACCAACCAGCGTGCTTTCTCCCTCTGTTTCTTCTCCTTGATCACAGTTTTGGTCACCAGAAGGCAGACTTTCTGGAAAAAAGGATATATCAATACAAAGCTGCCAAGAAGCACACATTCACTGTGAGGGTGGAAATTCATCTATTTGTAATTAATACATAACTTGGTTCACTCAAGATAACTTGCAAATATAAACTCTAGTAACCTACAATACCACACCAATTTTTACAGAAGGAAAATACGATGGTGAACTGTCTTGCCCATCAAGAAAAGTACATTAGTTTCACTTTAAAGTCAAGAAAACTTAAGTTCTGAGAAATATAACTCTGAATTTGCCTATGAAGAACATCAGTGATGATTATGTAGTGCCTGCTCCCAAGCACACACTAGATAAACAAAACCGTCCTCTTTGGCCCACCTCAGTACTCCATAACAGACTGGCAGGTCTCTGCCTCTAGACTGTAGGCAGGACCTACAACAGAATCTCTCAAAAACAGTAGCAACAGGACTTACCACAGGACAAGCTAGTAATGTCCATCTTTATAGTCAGATGATAAAATATGTGAAATTCTTCTGTGACTCCAAGGACACGTCAGGGAAACTTATGCGTCAAAGTGGAAAATGACAAGATTCATTCTCTTTAATCTGGATGACTTAGACTCCTATTGAGATCAATCAAAAAGCAACACTTAGCAGTCATCAAACATTATACTAGCTCTCTGAAGGGAAGATAATGAAAACCATCAACAATGTATACCCTATAATACAGGCTCATTAACAGCACCTGAACTGACTGTGGACTGTATGTATTTGTTGTGGTTTGAACAAGAAACATGTTCCATACGCTCATGTATTTGAACACTGGTACCCAATTGGCAGCCCTGTTTAAAAAAATTATGGAGCCTGTAGAAGGTGAATCTTTGCTTGAGAATAAGCATCACTGAGGGTGGCCCTAAGGTTTTATAAGCCTCATCCCACTTCCTGTTCTCTCATCTTTATGTACATGAAAATGTGATCTTTGGGCTTCTACTGCCACGTTCTACCTTCTCCACTATTATATGAAGTCTTTCCCTCTGGAACTTATGCCAAAATAAACCCTTTCTTCCTTAAGTGGCTTTGGTCATAATATCTTATCATACCAACAGAAAAGTAGTTAATACATTACTCTACGTAACACCAGAACCTTTTATTAATGCATTTATATATTTGTGTGTATGTTCACATAAATTTATACTCTGTAAAAAGCAACATATAAAGAACTCAGGAAAGTAAGCACATGAGTTACTTAAAACTTAACATTTTGGACTGGAGAGGTGGCTCAGAAGATAGCTCTTCCTTAGGATCCAAGTTCAATTCCCAGTACCCTCACAATCATTTATAACTCCAGTCCCAGGGAACCCAACACCCTTTTCTGCCATCCTTGGGCATCAGTAAATACACAATATTCAGACATACACACAGACAAAAACCACCATCTTAGGGTTTAGTGATAAAACCCTAAGGATGCAGTGATAAAACACCATGATCAAAAGCAACTTGGGGAGGAAATGTTTTATTTCATGTTACACTTTCAACAAACAGTCCATAAATGAGGAAAGTCAGGGCAGGAACTCAAGGCAAGAACCTAGAGGCAGGAAATGAAGCAGAGACCATGAAAGAATGCTGTTTATTACTAGCTTCTGGCTTCCCCTTCTGATTTCTTATATACCCCAAGACCCTAGGAGCCACACCACCCACAGTAGGCTGGATCATTCTGTATCCTGTATTAGTATATTTTAAAAGATTTTTTAAAATAATTCAGCTAGACATGATGGGTGGCACACACCTTCCCATCACTCAGGAAGCAAAGGCAGGTGGATCTCTCCAAGTTCCAGAACAGTCTGGTCCACAGGGTGAGTTTCAGGACAGCCAGGGCTACAGAGAGAAACCCTGCCTTGAAAAACAAAAACAGAACAAAACAACCCACCAATTTTATGTTTATGTGCATGACTATCTTGTCTAATTGTATGTATGTGCACCATGTATGTCTAGAGCCCAAGGAGGGTGGGAAAGAATCAGATCCTCTAGAACTAGTATTATGGAGTATTATAAACCACAATGTAAGCACTGGAAACTTTGCTGGAAACTGAATCCACTTGACAAGTGTAATTCTTAACCAGTGAGTCATCTCTCTAGCCCTGCAAAAACCAATATAAATAGCATTTTGAGGTAAGCACAAATTCAAAATGTGTGTGTGTGTGTGTATATATATATATATATATATAAAATATATAATATATATGACATATATTATATACAACATATTATATATGTGTGTGTATTTATTTATTTATTTATATATCATGACCAAGCCCACACTGCAGAAATAAGGAATCTATAGAAGTCAGGGCCATCCAGAAGAGCACAAGAAAGGCAATGCCTTACATGAACACATTCATGAACAAAGGAGAACCAGGAAGAAATTCATCACATCCAAAACAGCAAACTCCTAATACCAATTTGAGGGAAGGGTTGCCAGAACAACGATCAACAAAAATGAGAGGAAATCCTAAATATTTCTCAGTATTAGCCTCAATAAAAAATATAAATGGCTATAGCTCACCAAGATGCATACTGTCTAGATTAGAAACTATCTGTTGTCTCCATAAAACAAACCTAACCAATGTGATGGCTAACATTATGTTGATGGCTAACTGCAGTGGAAACGCAAAGGTTCTTTAGTAAGTCGGTTGGATGGTGTTTTGCCGAGGCAAACACATGAAGGAATGTTTCGTTACAGTGAATACAGCTGTGAGAGGACACGTGATGGATGGAGGAGTCTCCGCTGACACCATGCAGCACTGTCCGCCTTACACTGTGTAGTTGACACCATGCAGCAATGCTCTGCCTTACACTGTGTAGCTGATGAAGGATTCCCTGCTGACACCATGCAGCACTGTCCGCCTTACACTGAGTAGTCACACTCGCTCCATTTTAGTTGAGCTCCATTTGTTGGGACTCCACAGAGAAACGCACCAAACACCTTCTGGTGGTGTGCTGCAGTTTCTTGCTGCTTTCACAGACACAGGCTGATTGGCAGAGTGATGCCAGCTGAGACAGACGCGCTGCTGAGGCAAGACCAGTGCTGAGGCAAGGCCCATGAGTCCATGAAGTATTTTTGAGTGTATCAAGCTGCCGCTGCTCACCTGTGAACTGAACTGCCAATTTCCAGACAACCTCTCTAAACAGGTCCATTTCTCCTGTATCCTTTCTTTCCCACTACCTCTGGTGGGTGGTGGGCTAAAAGGGAAGTTAATTCCTAAGATCCATCATTAAAAATAGGATTTGAAAAAATCAAAGTTAAAGGTGGCACCCAATGTGGGGGTGGGGGGCAAGGCTGTTGGTATGTCAGCAGTGGCCCCTTTTATAAGTTTGGAAACTCGATCCCTGTGATGGTCTCTTTTTTGACCATAGGCAGAGCCTGCAATTGGTCTCTATCACCTGTACTAACACCTTCCCCAGGACCATCTACCATATCACCTCTAATTTCCTTACTTGCTGTCCCTGGAATTGCAGGAATATTCATTTGAGTACCCCATTATTGTAAAAGATCCCTTCCCCATAAATTTATTGGTATGTCAGACACATAATGTCTCAACTTCTGTTTGCCCTTCTGGGCCCACACAGGTAATCCACTGGACACTTTGTCTTATTTGTGATAACTTACCAATTCCTATTGTGTGTAAACCTTCTGAAGTGTCCAATCTAGATTCCAAGACTTTTGGGAAACTTTACTAACATTAGCTCCTGTATCCACCAAGCCTTCTACAGGAACACCATTCATTTGTACCATTAATTTGAGTCTCTGATCATTAACCACTGTTTGCTAGAACACGTTTTCCAGTACTAGCAGCTAATGTTATATTTAAAACTTTGAAATCTCTGTGTTTAAAAGAACTAATTATAAAGCAAAACTACACCTCCAAATGTCAGGGGCTGCTAAACGCTGAAGTGATGTTTTTTAACACAATGCAAAAATCTATCTCTGTCCTTGCCTGCCTTAGACACCTTCTGATTGGTTAAAATAAAATGCCTGTGGCCTATAGCAAAAGAAAGAATAGAAGGTGGACATCTGGCAGAGAAAACGAACTATGGGAAAGAGTGAGGTGCAGGAAGATTCATCGAGAAGTGGAGGAAGCTGGATGTATGAAACTGAAGAGAGGTAACCATCCATGTGGCAGAATTTAGATTAATATAAATGGGATAACTGAGTTAGGAGCTAGTTGGGAACAAGCCTAGCTTAAGGCCTAGGCATTAATTCACAAATAAATAAGCTTCCATGTCATTATTCAGGAACTGGGGTGGGCATTAAAAAAAAAGGCCTGAACGATTACTGTTAAGGGTTAAATTTTTTTACTGCTCTTCTGCTTCTGTAAACAAGCTTATTTTGGAAAAAAAAAAAAAATGACTTCTGCTTGCAGAAAAACATTGTATCTTGGTATTCTTTGAATTTATAAGCCCTTGAATGAGGTGGCTAGGTGCTACATTTAGGACTCCCTTGTGTAGACCTGGCACCAATATCTGAATAAAAGCCTCTTCTTTGTTAAAATTTATTAATAGTCAGACTGACGAATCTCTGAACCCCAGACTCATAGTACTAACAAAGATATCCAAAAATTGAAAAAAATGAGAAGCAAAGGACAGAAATTAACCTACCAAGCAAAAAGAAGCCAAATACGCTGACACAGATGACTCCTTAAGGGAAAAAGACTAAGTGACATATAAAGACTAGCCCATAAGAGTAATACCTGACTTCTCAGGACTCTGAAAGCCAGAAAGACCTGGATGGATATTCTATAAACTTTGAGAGACCACAGATGTCAGCCCAGTCTACTATATCCAGCAGAATTACCAATCATATTAGACAAAGAAAGAAAAACATCCCACAATAAAACCAAATTTAAGCAATTTCTATCTACCAATTCAGAAGGCACAAGGGGGGAAAAAAAAACAAAACTTGAGTATGAAGAGGTTAACCACACTGAAGAAAATACAGGAATAAATCACTTCAGACCAGTAAATCAGGGGTGGGGTGGGGGCACATACAAACAACAAAATAACAGGAATCAATAACCACTGCTCAATGATGAATTTCAGTATTAATACTCTCAATTCCCCAATTTAAAAAAACACAGACTAATAGATTGGGTTGGAAAATAGGATCTATCCTCCTGCTGCATCAAAGAAACACATCCTACCATCAAGGACAGATATCATATCAGGGTATAGGATGTAAAAAAGAATGCCAAGCAAATGGACACAAGAAGCATGTAGATTTTAATACTTGACAAAAGACTTCAAACCAAAACTACTCAGAAGAGATAGGGAAGGACACTACATTCTCATTAAAGGTAAAATCCACCAAGAGGATAATATCCAAACAGCTGTACACCAAACAAAGAGCTTCCAAGTCTGTAACAGAAGCTCTACTACAGGTAAAATCACATACTGACCCTCACACTGGTAGCAGTGACTTCAAACTCCACTCTCATCAATATAGGCCATCCAGATGAAAAGTAAAGAGAGAAATGCTAGGGTCTGTAAATGGACCTAGCAAACATATACAAAACAGTTCACCTAAACACACAAAAATGTAACTTCTTCTCAGCAGCTCATGCAACTT